CAACTATCATTATCTCAATTAAGTAGGTCATAAAACAATTTCATCATTTCTTGCCCATAATTGATTTCCCCCTCCAGCTCCCCTGTACTTCTGGTAATGACATTTTCATTATCCCAGTTACTTTTCATCGGAGCTTATAAATGCTGGGGGTACTGGCCCTAACTGTTCTCTCAATTGATGCAACCTAGTGTTGATGCCAGATTCAAAAGGAGCAAACTACCCACTGGCAGAGGGCCAGGAAACAGGTTTTTTGGGGAAAAAAAAAGTCATTATAAGCTATTGTTCACTGCTATGTCCCCAGCTTCCAGAACAGCACCTGGAACATAATAATTGCTCAATAAATATTTGAGGAATAAATAGATGCAGGTTTCCCCTACTATCTGAAAGTAGAGTAACTCCTGTGAAACCTTTCGTAAGCCAAAATGATGTAAAGTGAAGAAGCAACTACCTTAGGGCACTCTTGCTAGTGGATGCCCAAAATAAATCGAGATAAGGCACAGATATTTACATGCACAGTTAAGCTATGGCAACTTGATGTTGAGATGCAGAGTGTAGTTCCCAGAGAAGGAGCTTAGTGGTGCCACTCTTGCAGCTCAGGGTACTTGCTGCCTCTCTAACGGCTCCCTGAAAACAAAGGCTGAATGCTATTTTTGCTTTCGCCTTTCTTCCTAAAAGCAAAAATCCTCTCTGGATTTCCTTCTGTTAATGAAAACAGGTACTAATGCAGGTCTTTCATAAAAGTGAAGTGGCATAAAGTAAGCTTTCATAAAGTGGGGGACAACTGTGTATGCTGCGGAGTGTACATGAAATCTCCTTCTGATTTAAGCCAAATTTGTTGGAATAAACACCCACAGGAAATAGAAGGTTACAGAAAGTAGCAAGTTCTGTTCTATGAAAAATTTGGTCAGAGAAGGGCTGAATAGTATAAGCTTAAGTATAAGCTCAGAGAAGAGCTAACGACTTAGTATAGGATCAAAAGAGCGTGATAAAGAAGAAACAATATCTTATCTTTGGTAAACTGTACCACAAAGTCTCATGAGGTAGTGGAGGAGAAAGGGTAGAAATAAATTGTCTTCAAAGAGTGCATTTTAGTGCCTTTTTTTGAAAGAGTTGCTCTTAAACCCTAAGGTATCAGAGAAAAGAAGAACCTTACAAAGCTTTAGTCTCAAAAAAAGTTAAGGTTTCTTTCTGCTTAGGCTTGAGCGACCACCGGAGTTGAAGTAAGCCTGTTGTATTAATTATCTACCGCTGTGGAACAAGTCGTCTCCAAAATTCACAGCTTAAAACAAAACACATTTATCAGTCCCAGCATCTGAGGGTCCTGGATCTGAGTGTGGCTTAGCTGGATGACTGGCTCAGGGCCTCTCACAAGGCCACAGTCAAGGTGTTGGCTGAGGTTGCAGTCATCTCAAGGCTCAACTGGGAGGGGATCCTTTTCCAAGGTCACTCTCGCGGCTGTTGGCAGGCTTCAGATCCTCACTGGCTCTCAGCCAGAGACACCGATTCCTTGCCACATAAGCCTCTGCATGAGCAGCTCACAACATGGCAGCTGGCTTCCATCAGAGGGAGCAAGCAAGAGGACAAGCAAGAGCCTGAGATCTGCCAGCATTCACTGGTATTACCATGCTCCCCATTATCCTTAAGCAGTAGGCCTGACAGAATGGTGGAATGACTTTTTGAACAGTTACGGTGCCTGGTTAGGTGACAACACCTTGTAGAGCTGAGACAATGTCCTCCCAGATGCGTTATGTGCTCTAAATCAGCCTTTAATACACTGTGATGTTTCTCCCAGATCTAGGAAGGAGGAGTAGAAATGGGGCTGGATCCTCTTCTCATTACCCTTGGTGATCTACTAGCAAAACTACTGCTTCCCATTCCCATGATTTTAGGATCTGTTGGTCTAAAGGTTCCATACGGAGGAATGCTTCCATGAGGTGTCACAACGATTCCACTGAACTGAAAGCTGAAACTGCCATCTTCCCACTTTGGAATCCTTATACCACTGGATTAACAAGCGACAGAGAGTGTTACTATATTGGCTAGGGTGATTGATCCTGATTACTAAGGAAAAATTGAGTTGCTACTACACAATGGGGGTAAACAGGAGTGTCTGTAGTGCAGGAAATTCTCTAGGTCATCTGTTAATGTTTTCTGTGATTCGTGTCAATAGAAAACTACAATAATGTAAGTCAGGCAGGACTGCTAATAGCCCAGACCCTTTAGGAATGAAGATACAGGTCACCCCACCAGGCAAGAGACCATGACCAGGTGAAGTGCTTGCTGAAAGCAAAGAGAATATGGAATGAAGGTAGTTATACATACCAGCTACAACTACATGACCAGATGCAAAAATGGGGAATGTAATAGTTATGAGTATTTCCTCATTTTGATATGAATATATATACTAAACATTTTTGTTTTCTTCTCTCTTATTCCCTTAACATCTCATGTAAGATGTGTCAATTGTAATTAGCTTTATCTCTCAGTATTTAAACTATAGGATACCAAAGATGAGAAGAATGAACTATCAGCCAAGGACAAAAATGGGCTTTGTATCCTCCTTTTTAGTGTGCTTTCGATTGTACACGGGATAGTTGTATCACGTTAGGTGGAAGCAAGACTTCATTAATGTCTTCGTTTGGAGATTTTCTGGTTTAAGGAGATGTAGATGAGTGCCAAGTTGACAAGGCATGAACTGTGGAGGCTCTGTAATGTGGCAATTTGGCTAGGCTGAACTACATTTCCCAGAATTCCTTTTCAATCTGTGTGTCTCTAGTGAGAATGATACAAAAGGGAGACTTCTGTGGGAAATTTGGAGAGTTAAAGTGAAGCAGCAACAATTTCAAGCTCACACACGTTGTTTATCTGCTGGTTCACTTAGTGGCACAAGGCAGTGGTTACCAGGACAAAGGGCACTGGCTTCTACAGGACACCCACACCACCAAGGACAGAAGCCATAAGAACTGACATGGGTTTAAGTCCATCTTCATGGGCTCCAGCTCATGCTTATGGGTTCCAGCTCATTCTTGCTCTCCACCCCTTTACATAAGATCTTCCCTTAACAACTGACTGCTCTGTAGACTCAGCTCCAGCATTGCTTGCCAAGTCCACATTCTTATAGAGACTGCTTAACCAGCTCTGATCAAATCCCAGGTCAAATCTCTGTAATAAATCCTTTACTATATATAGTCAATCCTCATTATTTGTGAATTCCGTATTTCTGAATTCACCTACTTATTAAAATTTATTTGTAAACCCCCAAATCAATACTCATGGTGCTTTTGTGGTCATTTGTGGATATGCACATGTGCAGCATGGTGAAAAATTTGAGTTGCTCAACACACACATTCCTAACTAAGGTGAAACAAGGCCATGTTTTGCCTTCTTGTTCCAGTTCTTGTACTGTAAACAAGTGTCCTTTTCGCAGACTATTTAGTGCCACGGTTTTCACATTTTTGTGCTTTTGTTGGTGATTTTGTTCTCTGAAATGGCATCCAAGTATAGTGCTGAAGTGTTAGACAGTGATGTGTCTTATGGAGAAAATAAGTCCCATTAGGGCATGAGTAACAGTGCTGTTGACTGTGAATTCAATGTTAGTGAATCAACAATATATATTAAATAAGGCGTCTTTAAACTGAAACACTCATAAAACAAAGATATATATTGATTGGTCGATGAAAGTGTGACCAGAAGCTTGCAGGAACCTAACCCTGTATTTTCCCTAGGAGTGATGATTCAGTATTCACTAATTCAGTGTTCTCAGAGACTTTATAAAACATAATCACTGATAATAAAGACAATATATTGTAATTAATGTACACCACACACACACACACACACACACACTGTAGCAAATATATCATCTAGTAGTCTGTTGCTCTGACTGAACCCTGATTGACAGACCTGAAAGGTTTAGTTATAATGATAGTGAAGCTCAGTTCAAGTTTAGGTATTAATGATGGTGAAATTTAATTATAATAATAGTTCTTTACCTAGTAGTTGAACTATTCTCCAAATTATTTCCTTCAAATATGTAAACATGTATGCAACTTTGCTTAGCGATTAGCTGTCTCTTATGGTTGTTATATGAGGTAGTTCATGTTCAAAACTTCTACTCATTCTCTGGCATCTATGACCAAAGCAAACCCATTTCTGTTCTGTAACATAACCAGACACCACTGCTCAGTTTCTGTTTACCATCAAAACTGTGAAAGCCAAAATCAGAAAGTAATGAAAAATGTCACTCTTTC